CACTTAGGACCATTTTTCAACCGTAGTTTTTAGCCCTTCTGCTCTCGCATGAAAGCCCAAAAACCCAGGGAGTTGATCCTGGCAACGATTTACACAATCTCACCATTTTGGAGGCCAAACAATCTCCCTTTTCAAAAGATACTGTGGGGGGCACTTTTAATGCTAAAAAAAAAATCTCACTTGAGTTAGTGGTCTGCACCCTGTAGAATAGCCTTTTCTGAAGCATGGCGGACACTATAGGAGGGCGCTATTTCAAGGGGGTAAATTTGGAGTAAACGCAAAAGATATCCCAACCAAATAGCGCCCTCCTAGTGTGTCCGCCATACCTCATGGATAAATAGTGGCTGTAATTCTTTGCCCCTTGCCTCAAAACCTGCGGGGTTTTTTTCTTCACCAAAATCTTCGTTTTTTGGGGTATTTGTGACTTAAATGTTAAAAAGAAATCACATCACGTGGAAACGCATTCTGAATTGTGTCATAACCCTTTCAATTTTAGTTCGTATTGATCCTCAAACATATGTGACCCGTCATGACAAAATGAGCGTTAAGTCACATTCCGTTCTTTCCTATTTTGAAGATTCAAAATCATATTGAAGTGGAGGTTAATTTGGGGATTTTGTAATATTTGGAAAGACTAACCCGTCTCCTATTTAATTCGAAACATTTCGCAGGATCATATAGGCCCTAGATAAAAATGTCATTTTCACAGCAGTTTTGACAAAAGCATTATGCATGCCTGGTCTGAAATGTTGAAACAATGTCTGGAACAAAGACGCAAAGCTGCCAGAATAATGTCACATTGTCACCTTATACTTGTGCCCTAAGTGTTCCATGTACATGCCATTGGAGAGTCCTTTTTCTGCTGAACTCAAAAATACATGTAGCGACATCTCAATCTTTGAAAATTCCGACTTTCAGCTCATTTTTTAGTGACAGGTCACATATGATTTCCTCTGACTTATATTTCCCCTCTTAAACACTGCATTACCAAAAAATGTAGCTTAATGTTTTGCCACCAAACAGAAAAATGGCCCTGCTCTACGCAAAGCCGGTCAATAACCCTTTGTTGTCCTAGTTCACCCATAAACCCACAAGACTACATCTGTAGCACACGAAAAAAAAGCGTAGTTATCAAACACAAGTTACATTGCCCACCCCCATATAGAAATGCGTTTATATTGTAGCAGTCTACTTTATTATCACTTCGCACAGCTAAAATAATACCAACACCAAAACATAATGATCCGCTGACAGCAATAGACACAGGAACGCACGGATAATTGATGTATGGCTCCAAACGAAAATAAAGTGGCGTCCAAAACTCGGACAAAATTATGGTTTTAAGAAAATACCATTTTAGGTGATAGTACCTTTTCTTGAAGCTAAACCGGTTCTTCAATTTCGATGTATTTTATTCACAATTTTGAATTGGGGTTTGATTTCCTGTTGTCAAAGGGCAATCAAGCGAGAGAGACGTTGTACGCCCACCACATGAAAGTGTAATGTTTGTATTAACGCGTTCATAATTATAACCCTGACGACTGGACGAAGACAGTTGGCAAAGTTGATAGTCATGATCGTGATAACTCGTTCCAGTGTGTATCATTGGGAACTGTTGGGCAAAGCTGGTCGTCGATATGGAACGAGACTTTTATTCTCACCTAGAATTTTTTACTTGATTATTTATGTAGTGTTTATTGTTGCTAAAGTGTAACGGTAGGCCAAGCGTAGTTTGTGTTTTAGCAAAACGTAGACTTAATTAGTATAGCTATTTACATGGTCAGCTCTACTCCTATCGATGTAAGGCTTCGCAACGTTGTCAAATCATACGCAAAACAGTCTTGTCCATTGAAAACAGTACGCAGCGCGTTGGCCAATCACAATGCGCAAAATCTGTCGACCCAATGCGCGTTTGGAAAGGGTGGACAGGGCCGTTGTCCGATACTCAACTTCGCCTCCGCCTCGGGCTTAGACTTTTATACTAGCTGATTTTGAAGCTGTAAGCGCAATAATCAGTCTAATAGTGCCACAGAACATCAAATAAGATGCAAGAAAGCCAAAAATTACAGTAATTCAATGTAATTTAAACGCTTCAGACCCACAATCGGGGATTGGATTTGGGAACGAAGCCTGAGAGGGAGACGAAGTTGAGTATTGGAAAACGGCCCATATTTCGCTCGTTGTGATTGACCAGCGCGTTGCAAACTCTTGGAGGTGCACTACTGTGAATAGCCCATAGACTATGGAATAGCCTGAATTATAGTCACTGTCACGCGCGTGGCCATCATTTTGCTAGCCGTCAGAGGGCGCTGTTTGGGCGCTGTCTTTTCCCACAGCTTTCGTTTCAGCCACTTTGTGCTCCTGCGTGTAATTCCCGGATCGGCTCGCTCTCACCCGCGCGATCAGCCAAATGGCTGCAAAAGCCAGACACTGCACAGCAATTAGCGCTGTCGTTAAGCCGTAGATGGTGCGCCTGAACTGCTCGATGTCGTAGATGACGCAGGAGCCGCGTTGACCGCACAGGGTTTGCCAGACGAAGCAGGCAGAGTCGATGTATGCGCCATATAGGAACGGGAAGGGAAGGGAGCCTGTAAGGAAAGACAGAACAACGCGTCAGGGCAAGTACGTCGTTTATATTGTGAGTCATCAGTTTCAATGCAGGTCTTCATTTTGCTTGCACTCGTGCCCATTGGTATAATTATCTTCAAGAAGCCTTGCCTTATGGTGCCTGTTCTCGTTCAGGTCCTGGTGTCTCAATGTGCGAGTCTTACCGTCCAGTAGCGTAACTAGGCTCTTCGCAGAGGAGGTAAGACAAGAGGTCCGGGGCAGCTGCCCCCTTGCCCCTCTTGGCTATACGTACGCAGGCCCTTCTAGAGGAGATGGAGAGTTACCACGGGGGCAGTTCCTCCCCCCTGCCCGATACACCACTGCTACCATTGAGCTAGCGCATGGGTTATCCTGAAGGCTAACCTGGCTTGGCTGTCTTGTTTCTGGTTTCTCGATACACAGGGGTGAATCTGGCCAGATTTTGTTGGCAAAGTGACAGTCTTGGATATACATGTAATGCTGCCAAGCTATTCCATCAGTACATGTATGCGTTATTGGTTGAACTTTTTCATAATACACTTACCAATTAGCAGCATGAGTACCCGGCTGATACCAAGCGCAAAGGACTTATCAGACGGAGGCACGGAGCTAAAGAAATAACAAAAGAACAGCAGTTGTCATCGGCCAAATGTTATGATTCACTTCAAAACTCTCAAGGGTTTGGGACATAAGATTGTTTTTACTTCAGAAAATGCATTCCCTTCTGGAAGAAAGTAACAACGGACAAAACTGAGCCAGTTGCTGGTGTAGACTGCAGTCGGTCCTGTGGTGCTGTGATCATGCCTTGATGTCGGTAAAATCAGTAATGTATGATGGGGTTGTTGACTGTAATTTTACATGCAATACCTGACGATGACAATGATCCGCGGGGACGTGGCTGAGCTTAATGTGATCGCCCACAGCACCATCAACGCGATAAAAGCCCCCTTATTGGTGCAAGCGTATGGACAATGGCCAAAGGTTAACGTAGCGGGCGGTGGTGAAACCGTGACGTCAGAAGAGGCAGTCGCGGGATCTGGCATCAAGCATGAACAGTCTGTGTATGTCTAGAAGCCAGAGATTTATACAAAACATTGTAAATTGCCAGTCTTCCTTTATGAAATTACAGCGAGCAAATACGACAAGTTCTAGTTTAATTGTTTTAAACATACGAAAAAAGTACAACACTCCAAACGTATTTTCAACTTCATGTCCTTGTCGAACCTTCATTATGTACCTACAGCCTATTGCTGCCACAGGAAGGATTCTGGGTTGCGTATGTTATTAGAATCAAATCAGATATTAAATTCAATTACTTTTTCAGATCGAAGCAGGACTGACAGTAAGATCGCATACCTTGTTTTCTGTCATCTTGGCACACCCTGCATGGCACGAAGAGAAGTAGGTCACACCGTCTGGGCCGCAGTGCGGAGAGAAGGCCGTCTCGCTCGGGCAGGAGCAGTCAGTGTTACACGCTGATTCAAGACTAGTGGTGGGGCCCAAACTGGGGGAGATAAAAGGAAAAGGCTCCTTGTATCGGTCAATTTTGCAATGCCTTGTTCGATCAACAAAGAATAGGGAAAAAGGTTGATAGTTGAAGACAAGGCATCAGTGTTGCTTCCACTCACTCGTGTCCCTGATATCCCACAGTCACGCCAGCGATGCGCGGATTGTCACATCCAACGAACATGAGCGCCACAGCAAAAGTGCAGGCGAGTACGGCGGACACGACGCCTATGGCAGCTGAGCCCTGTATGCCTGGACTGAACTTCTTGACGATGATGCCTCCGATCAACGCGCCCACAGCCCACGGTGGCACGAAGGCAAAACCTGCCAGAAAAAGTAATAAAAAAACAGCAGACTTTTACATTTGTGTAATAACTTTAAAGTGTATTTATTACAGTAAAGTCAACACAACACAGTACCTTTTTCCTCAATGTAATACATTTAAGTCAGAAAGGCGTTTTTAAAGACAAAATCAAAGCCCTTTCCAAACCTTTGTTGTTGTAGAAACAGTTAAGTTTCTTTCATTCTTAACAGTTTGATGTCTGACGAAAGCCCTGTAGTGCTGTACATTTTCAAAAAGTGAAGTGTATCGTTCCAAACTTCGTTTGTAACATCATTTTTTTTCTGTTCGTTCTCATAATGTGTAATGTCTTATGAGTTTAAGGGGGAATTCAGTTCCTTACCCGCTATTAGGTTGGCCATGAAAACATCAAGTCCAAATTGTACTTGCATGTACTTCGGGAAAAATGCAGCCAGTGAGTAGATGAGGGCGCCCTCTGTGATGAAGGAGAGACACGCTAGGAGAAAAATCACGTTTTTCAACAGACGCCAAATGGACCCAGGCCAGTCTGTGGGAAAAGAAACGTGATGTGAATAATGAATCAAAAAATTTCGATGACAACACTGGAAAGTGCCCTTTTTATTTTATTATTTTTACCTTTCAAGTCCTTGAGTGCCGATGTATTCACATGCCCGTTTCCATCTTCGCCCAAACCGATCGCCTCAGCCTTCGGTGGATCCTCATCTTTCTCTTTGTGACTTCGAGGAAGACGTCTTGGAAATCCAAACAGTGGGAGTGCAAGTACGAAGAAGACGATGGCTTCGATAATCATACCGAGCCACCACGCTCCCACCCAGTCGTGGTCCCGTGGCGTCAGCCCGCTCCAGGTAGCGGCGTCGACGCGGTAGAAGTCCACCCAGAGACTGACCACTGCGCTGGCGATCTGGAAGCCCACGATAGCTCCGAGTCCAAACATGCTCTCGAGAATTCCTGAGATAAGATGGGGGTAGGTTCTTCATGAATGGAGTTAAGTAGTATCGAGATGGGTCAAGTTATGTCGCAATCATTTCCGAGAAGGCCTAAATCGGAAAATACAAGTTTATCACACCATTGCCACGTCTTCGATTCGACAATTTGATAATAAAGCCAACTACGTACAGTGTTAAATGATATGGTTTGTATGTACTGTTTATTTTCTGCAACTTTTTCACTAAATCGTTCGTGAAAGAATTTTTAATGAAGGAATGTACGGACCGTAAAAAAAATCATCAAAATAATTAAATTGAATTTTCAACTATTTGCGATAACTGTTTGGTTTCACCTACCCGATGCTAAACCAGTTGTTCCTCTGGCGGCATTGTCATCCACGTAAGCCAGTGTGAGTGGCACAAGTGGTCCGTAACCAACACCCAGGAGAATCTGGCCGACGACAATGATGATGTAAGCGATATTGTTGTCTCGGAGTATTTGCTGCTCCTCTGAATCACATGACGCGTCATCGCCTGTCCCTGAATTGGCACTGCAGAGCCCACCCCGAACCTCCGAGGAGTTGTCAGAAGACGACTCGAGGAGGACCGAGGATGGAAGTTGGTAGGGGGGAAAGACAAACTGGGGTAGGGCGTGCAGGGCCGCGCCAACCGCTAGGCAAAGCCCACCCAGCCCGATCCAGACCGGTCGGCGGCTCGTAGGTCTACCCCCGAAGTGTGTGACGATGACGGTAGACACCGCCGTGCCGGCCGTGAACATGGATGCGCTGAGGCCGATCTCCGAAGCGCTGAGCTGATAGCGGGTCTCGATAGTGGTGACTAGACCTTCAAAGACGGCCAAGGCAGCAGCAGAGAAGCACAGGAGGAGACACACCACAAGGATGAAGACTTTGAGAGAGGCAAACCGTTGGAGGCAACGTGGATGGCAACAGATGAAGCCACAGCACAACTCATCTTTGGTTGGTTCGCGCGTGGACGTCGCATCATGACGGGGCGTCGAGACGTCACCGCTCGGTCCGGCGATATCTGGCTGAGTGCTTCCATTCATTCTAGATTTGCCGTTCGAAGTTCAAATGTTCCCTCGGCGCAAAGAACGTAGTTGGGTAGTTTATACTAATACAAAAATTTAAAAAGAATGGGCCTTATGTAATTGCAGGTTCACCAAATTAGAAGTTCGGAGCATGGATTCCGATCTTCGGTCTAGTTTTTAAGTATCAGGACCAATCCAACACCGAGATGAAGTCAAAATGTGCCAACGCAAGAGTGAATATTCTACTGGGGTTTTCAATGTGCCGTATACACATCCCTAACTAAACAGTTAAGTTTTGCGCATTTTATGACCTTCCGGTGATGAATCAACCTGACATGGATCACCATTCACCAATGGCAGGACAATTTGTTGAACCTTCCGAAATTAAAGGATCAATCAGACTGGTTAGTCACGTACTTTTAATCCAGTTTATGCATGGCGTCGAAAACAGAAATGGGAGGCTAAGAATAAACAATGTCAAGTGGTGAGTTACGAAAGATTAAGGGGGGTTGTGCCGTTCACCAGTCCGGAAGTACGATGACATCTCCCTTGGAGACACAGAACGGGAACCCCGTGTCTTGCATGGGTTTCTTCTTGAGAAAAGAGCCCACAAAGTACCACAGCGATCGCGGGGTCACACGTCGGGAAACGCACTTCAATTGTATATTTACACATTTGTCACAAAGCACCCAATTTGTGTCGCTCTCTTGACTGAATAAAAAGATTGACGGGGTTCGGGATTTCCCCTTTAAGGTCAGCACCGCTCATTACCCCAAGAGATTTGGTCGCCACCCAGATTAATGTTCCTCCGGTCGTTTGGGAAATACAAAACCAGTCAGAAGTGTTCGGTCCTCGCAGACTGAGATAATCTCTTCCAGATTCAGGCGGCTTTCTCGTGCCGCATTCTCAGCGGATCCAATGTCACGTCCTGGGGTTCGTAAAGTTCACAATCCCCGCCCTCTAGCGCTAAACCTAAGTCGCCCTGTCGACGGTCCTGGTGCTTTGTTTTAATCTGCGATTTGAAGTTTATTGCTATCTGCTGACAGACGTGTTAGGAAGACCATTGGAAACCTTTCGACATTCGCAATGCATCATGGGATTGAAAACGCTGGGCCATTTTTTTACACAGCGTTAGGTACCAGGTGAATCGCCTTATAACTGTTGGGCTAACAGATTCCCCAACCGCCTTGATTTTCTCCTGAGATATGGACAAACTTGTCTCATTTTATGCAACCGTTTTTCGCTACCACTTTTTACCCAGCGTTTTTATCTTTCTGCTCAACAGTTGAGCGATTCACCAGGTAGGCCTACCGAAAAAGTTGGGCAAAAAATGCCCTGCGTTTTTACAGTGTAGATTAAAAAGAATTAAAGCAATGTATTATATGCACAATGAAACGTTGCAGTTTGCATATAAATGAAATACTCGAAATCAGTCATTCTTGTCAAGTCATGCAGTGTTGCATTGAGGTTTTTGGAATAAAGGCATTCTTAAAAATCAAATTTTAGAGCTTACCAGACAAACTGAATCATTTGTTTTATTATGCTGATACGAATTTGGCTATTTCGAGCAAGTTTATAGGATGTCCTCCAATGCAGAAACCTTAATATTCCATTCCTTTGGGGTTTTCTGTTCAAGTTTTGAACTCAGTATTTTCTCATTGAAATTATCTGTGATAAAGCCTAGCTTGAGAAAATGTCTGCTGTCATGAACTCAAACAACGAATCACCAAGGATATCTACATTTATTACAACACATCTTTGATTTTGCCAACACTTCATATGGCACTACTGCAAACGTGGGGACACACAAGCTTACATTAAGTCTTTGATCCGTATACTCTGAAGAGTAGAAGGTAAGTAGGGACGGATTTGGTGAGTCTTTTGACTGTCAATCGAATGTTCCGATGGGAGGTATTTTAATTCATATAGACCCCCATCCAGATCGCTGGTTCGGACTCTGAAGTGACATTACACTAAGAGCACCCTCATTTATCAGGAAAAACATGGAAAATTTAAATGACAGTAACCAAAAATATTTCAAAAGAGAGGAGCGGAAAGTTGCACCAAACGTGCTCTCAATAAAAATTAACACTTCAAACCCTTTAAATTCGAGTTCTGTGACAGTATATGAAGCGTCGGTGAAGTACATTTACATTCATGGTCAAAGCAAGGCCTCGGATGAAAATGTCCACCAGTCGCTTGTCTTGTTCTACTGCAGAATTACGATTTTATCGCACTCTCTGTGCCGGTGGAAAGAATTGTTTTAGTGCAGCACGGCCTGACGATTGCACACGATCGCTGCAAGGAGGCTCTGACGAAAGAACCTAGATTACTAGCACGATGAACATGGCCTAACACTCTGTGATTACAGAAGACGTTGTCGTAGGTTTTCTCACCAGGAGGAAGCAAAACGGTTCTGGTCGACTCTGAACGAAAATTATCGAATCGTTTTTGTTCGCGTTTCTCTCTGACATAAAAGTTCCACTCACGTCATCCCCAATCAACCCACTCCCGACACTTGAAATTAGCACTAAATAAAATTTGCCTTAAAAATTAAACAGTCATTTGAGAAAATCAATTTAGTTGTCCCAAACCTTGTCAAATTGTCGAATGCATTTAACGTGTATGTTTAACACTCAATACAAAAATCCATGCTTATTTTTGTCCTGCCGAGAGAAATCGGCGACATGTTTTCATCTAGGAATGCAACTGGGCAGCCATCCCATTGGACAACAACAAATTTTCCGGATGTCTTAGAACAATGCGCATACCGAACGTATTGGAACTGAGTGTGTAGGCACGCACACAAAGAAAATGTACAGCGGACAGAAATACACTGACGAAAGCCACTCTTTTGGTGTAGTAGGCCTGATTGCGACGGTACATGGACGTATTCACCAGTTGGAACGTCAGGCTGAGTTTCCCGAGAAGCTGAGGAAACTTCTGGACAGAACTGAGCTGAAACCAAATTAGCTTATTTCGGAATAATGGATCACTCCGCTGTTGTGTGTGTAAAAGGGAAGGAATATCATTCTGGAATATATATTTTTACGAAGACAGCTGTCGGAGATGTGTAGCTTCATTTTGAGAGAAACGGAAAGAGGTGAGTACTTTTTTCGATTTGTGTTATATGTAGGATTATTCCCTGGAATAAGAATGGTTAGGTAAGACAAATATGATGACATTTTGGAAGTCTGTCGCATTTTATGTAATTCACACACAGCAAATTCGTTGGAATTTGTGCGTACCTCTGTCAAACGACATCGGCCTCAGTAACGGACAAGTGTGGGTGTGGGTACAAAGAGAGTTCAGCTGTCCAGGAGAGCTTTTTTAAAGGCGTCTGTTGCCTTCTTCAAATTATCCTGATTTTTTGATGGCCCAGGAGGAAGTTTAAACCCCAAATCCTCTACACGGGTCTGTGGATGTACATGTACATGCTAACAATTTTTAAACAGTTAGACATTATACATGCAGAACATTTTGGATTTCATTTCAAGAATATTAATTAGGCCCACAAAAAGAACGGCAAAATTTTCGGGTCAACTCATTTCTGTTTTGAAACCTTTACCCTACCGACTAAAAATCTTCCCACTGACTAAAAAAAATGCAACCAAATCCACAATAGCCCATTGAAGCCTTCAATCACCACTTGACCACCTTTGAATTCTCTGGGTGACCATCAAGGACCCAGTCGACGCCGTGTGGCAACCAAGGCTTACTTTGACAAAGGGAATTTTAATAAGGAAGCAGTCAGCGCCACACTCAGTATATAAAGTGCAATAGTTATTGGCGCTCAAATCACACATTGGAGATGACCCAATAAAACCCGAGTTGCTGTACCCTCTCCACAGTTTCCAACTGTTTTATATTTTTAAACATAATATGCAAAACTAAAAAGGTAAAGCCTCCAGGAAAGCGAAATCAAATCAGGTTTGGAACTTGGCTGAATTAAGAGGCTTTTCAAATGCCAGGATATGAGACTTCTTTTTTGAATGACTTGTATCACTGATTAGTATTACTGGGGAACACGAAAACGTAACTCTTCCCAGCTTTTGCTTGTGCATGTACCCCGTTATTTTCCTTCAGTCACTTCACAGATGTGTCCCCCCAATTATTTGGTTCCCAAGGTGATCCAAATGATCCAGGTACTTAAAATAACACGATTAACACTAAATCGACCATAGCCCATGTCTTTACTTAATACTGGCTTTTGATTCAGAGCGTGGCTACGCTACGAGATATACGTGAACGAGTCACCAAAATAATTTGAATAATAGCTGGGCCAACTGTTGAATCATGCCAATTCTAAACTCCTTCGACCAGATCTAGCCCTGACTTGCCTAATATCAAAGTCTTTAAAATGCTGTGCTCGAAGGAAAAGAAAGTTTCAGCACTGAAAGTCTGCATTCCTCTCTTTTTCAGTTGGAAAGCTGAAAATCGAGGGAGGCTAATTCGTGCCCGTTTTCTATAGATTCTGCAATCTAAAAGCTTCAAATCCTGAACTTTTCTGTCATTCAGTGTAGTTTTGTTTCGAGAACTGGAAGCCCGCGATATCAGCAAACCATTTTGGCTGAGAGGGATCATCAATGCTTTTCCTAAACATTTAGGAATTCAATTTTCACAGTAATCAGATCCCCACTAGAGTGGAAGCCTAAACAAAGTACATGTACCGACACATAAACTACCTCTGAATGACTACCCCCCCAAGAACTGCTTGACCCCTCGGACACATTATTATTGTTATTTTCAATAGTTTTGTAATGTTTAAATTAAGAGGCATAGGGGCCTATACCGGTACCTGGGATTCATTGGGTCCATAGCTCACAGATTCAAAGAGGTATTGAAAGTATTGTAGGGTCAGACATGTCTAAGTATGGGCCAGAATTCGTCTTCACACCATTTTCAACTTTATAATCTTCATTAGAAAAAAAATATGTCTTCAAAGACGCAGCTAAAGCATTGGTGTCAAAACGTGGCATAGCACCCGGACTGTCAGATGCCATTTCGGGAATAACGTAAAAGCTGTTACACCGAAACGTTTCCCCATTCGTTCGGTGTGTGAAAGGATTGTTCGATTTTTTTC